GAGCCAACAGAAACATTTTTAGTGGGGTAACAGTTCAAACCAATGTCAGCAACCACAGGCATCTCATGGTGAAGGTGGGTGCCGTGGTATGGGGAGGCTACATAAGCTCTTCAGTCTCTATGCCAAGAATTCTTAACCTGGGCTAGAAGCCATGGCATCCATGAAATTACATCATTATTTTTATTAACATCTAGCTGAAATTTAACATTTCTTTGATTATAAATATAGCCAACATGACACAGCATTATTAGTACCTTGACTTTATCACTTTTATAAATTGTACATATTTTCGCCTGACAGTACAGATGTTGAAATACTTCAAACTATCCTTTAAACTTATCAGCACTTTAAAATGACAGCAATTTTCAGACCTACTACTAGCCCTTGATATTTAATGTTATTAATAAATGTGTATTACTGATCTGTTTTTGAAAAAACATATTTTGATAAATGAAACTCAGTATAATTACTTTGCTTTGAAATTTTATGCTCTTTATTTTACACATTGTAAAACATTATTCTGAAAAGAAGTCCATGGCCTACAAGAGGTTAAGAATCCCTGCTCAAAATGAGGGGTGACAAAAGAACCTCCTTAGATCAACATCAACAGATTTCACATCACCCCAACACCACTTCACCAAGCCATGGCTTTAGAAACTTTAGAAACTACCCCAAGTGCCAAGCTCTCAAGATCTAATCTAGTTCAGTGGAAGGATATTGGGCCATAATCGACTAAATTTAGAAAATAAACGTATTCACCCTTTAGGAAGTGAGGGACTTGCCTTTAAACCCTGGAAGGAAGAAGGCTGCCCTCACTCACTCCAGCCCGCCCAATCCTCCACAGGCATTTTTCTTTATTGACCAATTGTGAGAGTCCCTTTGTGAATTACATGTCTGGATTAGTTTGCTGAACAATTGCCTCTTCTTAGTTAGCCTCTGATTGTCCTTGCTTTTGTGACTCAAAAATCCTTAATCTTATTTGAATGCAATTTAATTCCCTAGAGAGCTGAGTCTTTAGTCTCTTAGTTTTATAAAGTGAGTGCTTAGAGAAAATGCATGAGAGCTGACATGGTACTCCTTCAAAGCTAGGTCAGTCTACCAAGGAAATAATTAGATAAATGTGCACTCCAATCGAGGAGAGGAGGAGGAAAAGAATTTCTCTACAAATTACTTTTAGGACATTTAAGTGGAATTGAATTAGAATGTCAAGGGCCAGACAGCTCTCAGGAGGTCATTTGATCTAGTCCCCTGTTGCTGGGCAAGAGCACAGATGTGAAAATCTAGCCCATACTCAAAAAGCTTTAGAGAGGAGAGCAAACATTTTTACCTAAGCGGATCCTGTAAGGTAGGTAGAAGAATGGAGATTGTAGATTTAAAGGAATATTTGTAATAAATCAAACAATAGCATGTAGCTCATTAATTAACTAGTTAATTAATTAAACACATATTTATTGAGTCCCTGCCATGTGTCAGAGACTGTCCTGGGCATTTGAGAAATATCAGTGAGCTTACATTCCAGTGAGTGAAGACACATAAACAATAAACCTAATACAATTATAAGGAATGTTGGAGAGGGATAAGTGCATTGAAAAATAGGGGAGAAAGGGGCAGGCACTAGAGAGGGAGGGATGCCTGGGTGGCTCAGTGTTTGAGCATCTGCCTTTGGCCCAGGGTGTGATCCTGGGGTCCTAAGATCGAGTCCCACGTTGTTGGGCTTTCCACAGGGAGCCTGCTTCTCCCTCTGCCTGTGTCTCTGCCTCTCTGTCTCTGTGTCTGTCATGAATAAATAAATAAAATATTTAAAAGAAAACAAAAACAAAAAAGAAATAGGCCTTGCCTAATTTAAGCAAAATAGGAATTTTATTCGAAGGTTAAAGGTGTGGGTGGCTCTGAAGAACCAGAGTTCGTCAGGAAGCTGATGCCAGTACAGAACCCTATGTGACCTTACCTGCCCTGCCTAGGAAGTGGGGGAAGAGCAAAGAAGTTCATCTCTGAAAAGACATTGGTGAAAAGATGATACAGTGAGACCAAGATAATCTCACTCTAGTTAACGATATGAGCTAGGTCTATAAAATGGATTAGGTTTACAAAACAATGTACTGGAAGTACATTTACAAAAAAAAGAAAGAAAGAAAGAAAGAAAGAAAGAAAGAAAGAAAGAAAGAAAGAAAGAAAGAAAGAAAGAAAGAAAGAAAGAAGAAAGAAAAGAAAAAGAAATAAAGGAAGGAAGGAAGGAAGGAAGGAAGGAAGGAAGGAAGGAAGGAAGGAAGGAAGGAAGGAAGGTACTGGGTACTAGTTATAACCCAATATGATGCCAAATTTATTGGATGAGTTTTAATTTAGTAGTATATAATATATATCATGATTTCCTATCTAAAAAAAAGGATCACATCTTATTGGGAATGGGAAGAGTATACTCACAGCCATGATAAACTCACTTTCAGAAACCTATGAATGGTTCGGGAGAAATTGGTAATCTCTGATGAGAGAATTACTCTTCCTTCCAAGTTAGCTGGGTAATAGATGAGGTGAAACCAAACCATACATGGTCTCTTGACTTTGGATGATCTCTTTTCACACCAAACAAAACCAGTGTTGGATAAAACAGTTTCCCTGGCACTTGGCTTCACTCTGTATCAGCCCTCTGCGCTGCCTTAGTCTAGATCTGTCCACGTGCACACAGCTCTAACACAAGAACTTGTCTGTTACCCAAAGTGAAACCTGACCACGTTCAAGCTGAAAGGTAAAGGGGCTCTGTAGTCTATTAAAATGTGCCATAGTGTATCCGACAGTGTAATTACCAGTTCACTGTGATTTACAGAATCTTTCTCATCTGAGACATAATAATTAAACACGTAATAATTCTACTTGAGTAATTTAAGCACTTGATTTGTCACCCTGAATTTCTCCCAATACATACACAGGCTACAATCTATTTGCCACACTACCACCATCTTCATTTTTTACTTCCAGTCTCTAGGTGCATAGATTCCCTTATCCTGTGGAGTATCCTTTTGGACAGAAATCTCACACTTTTCAATGAATCATGCTTATTTTGGATGTCAACGTGATACAGGTGTGTGAAGATTTAGAAGAAGGATTTGAGTTGGAGATATAAACAATTTGATTTTCAGATATGGTAGACCAGAGAGACTTATTTTTTTATGACCAAATGGAATAGTAATATATTTGAACATATGGAATTCATGTTATGTCTCATTTTCTTCAATGTTGTTGGCAGGAAAGCAGTAGCTAGAGATATGGTTTTCTTTTCCCCCGTGGTTTTGCTTAAGCAGTGGAGAGTCACCAATCAACATTTGGTTCTCACATTGATCCTCTGCTCAAGCTAGAGTCATAAGCTGCCAATAAATAATAGGATCTTCTACTGTCAAGTTTTGAGGGAATTAAATCTATTCAAATACAGATTCATCACCCAATCTAGCCCTTGCCATACTCAGGAAGCACCTAGAGGGAGATAGTACTACTATATGGGGAAAAATCTAAGCCAGAGACATTAAGTATGTATTCCAAAAATCAAGTATTAGGACCCAGATCTCCATCTCAACTCCTTAAAGACTTCAGTGCCAAAACGGAACATAGAGATGATCTAAGACAGTGTTTGTTGAAGTGTGATGTGTTTGCATATGTTGGTAGGCATAGCTCACCAATAAGATGCTGATTACCAGGCATTGTTCTAAGTACTGTATGTGTATTAACTCACAATAACACTCTTAAGTACAATCTTATCATCTTGATTTTATAGATGAGGAAACTGAGGCACAGATATGTAAAGTGGCTTGCCCATCATCACAGAGCCAGCAAGTGGCAGAGTTGGGATTTGAACCTAGACTCACTGGCTTCAGGGTCTATTCTCAGCTTCTACTCTGTACCTACTAGTTTCACATGTGTCTGTATTAATGTATATTTGCAACAAAAAGATAATTAGCTATTACAGCTCTACGTAAGTCCATGATATACAAGGTAGTGGTTGTGGCTATAGGTGTGGTGTCCAGATACACCCATGAATGGCTCAAACCTCCAGCATCAGGATTTTCTATGATAACACATTGGAAAGATGGGTGTTATGATTACAATATTTTATGCTGTTAAATTAAAGCCAATGCATCTATATTATAGGTTTATTTTAAATTTATAGATTTATATAGATACATTGAATGTCTCCATATATGGCTTTACTCTTTTCAAGACTATATTGCAGGCATATTTTCCCCCTAAATGGCAAAAATTTTGAGGACTGTGTAAGAATGATTAAATTTGAGAAACACTGATTCTAGTCCAAATCTTCTGTCGTGAAAGTAAGTAAGGAATTTAAAGTCTGGGTGGTAAATCAACCTGCTAAAAGTAGCAGAGTTAATTAGTATTAACAATAATGATGTTTTGTACTCTCATTTTAAATGTTGTTATGAAGTATATAATATTTAAATCTTATTACAGCTTATAGGATAAATACTATTGTGCTCTTCCATTTTACAGACAGGTAGACTAAAGCTGATATAAATCATAACCTGCCATGAGGTCACATGGCTATAAGGGAATGGGGTTGGACTTGAACTTTAGTCTTTCTCATTCCAGAGCGAAAGATGTCATCTTCGCAACTGTATTTCCATCCAGGTGAAGTGTTACCAGTGAATCACAATGCAAGGCCCTATCTATAGTTCTTCCAACGTCACGTGGCCTTCCCCTCCTTCTGTTTACTGAGATTTGCTGCCGTGAAAATGTATAACTTTAGAAGGAATAAATGGGAATTATGCTGAAGTGTACCTTCCACCCAAAAAAGGACTATTTGAAAAATTTCAAAATCAATGCAGTTCAAAGCCAAAAGCTATTAACATATCTGCCACAGTAGCAAACATTCTTCATTTTACTATGATGAAGTAATGCCATTAGAATACCCCCCCCCAGATTTTAATGGTACATTCACAAATGTTTTGTAATACCATGATGATGTTTTCATGACAATATGATGTAACTTGTTATAGGTGAGCCCGACATAATTGAACTTCCCTAAGAATTCTTCCTCTCAAGCTTCTCCTGCTCCAACCCTCATCTTGTTTTGTATTTTTAACATTTTACAAGGCACTGATACGACTTCAACAACAAACAATAGCCTTTAGGTGAGTCTTTCATCGGAAAGAGAATCTCAAGGCTTTCTTTTATAAGCAGCACCTTGATTAACTGCCACCCTTTGGTGATGATAAAATGAAGCCAAGTTAATAATATTCTGCTCTCATTTCCAGTGGAAGATAGTGGCTGCAGAAGAAATATCAATGCTTTATTTGCAGGCTTTAAAGCCTGATACTCTGCTAAAAAAGTGGAACCCAAGGAAGCAAAGCTGCCATGTAAATGTAAGAAAATCTACTCTCTGGGGAATATGAGAGTGTCCCAAGGATTCTGTCGTCACAGTCATATGAGACTCGGAGGAACTGAGGCCACAGAGCCAAGAGGGAGTGGGCCTCAGGTGGGCACCCTCCTGTGTCTGCTTGTAAACTCGCACTCCCCCCATCATTCTGGGCTGAGGCCGGCAGGGAATTGGCAAATGCACCTTCGAACACCCACATTCCTGATGCTCATCCTCTCTTCCCTACTTCAGTTTCTCAAACACTTCCTGTGGCTATGGAAGGGAATTAATTATTGATGAGGCAGCCGGCCTGCGCAAAGCAGAAATCCCACTCCAAACTGGGTGCGTTGCCTCCCTGGAGAGCTGCTGGGATTGCTGTAGAGCATTGTTTTGCTTTTCCCTCAAGAAAAAAACTTGAACAATTGGTCAGAGCCCGGAAGCCTGGTCATTGCCCTAATTCACAGCTGTTACTCAGGCCATCTAGTCTGTTCTCCCCCATGAAGTGCACTGCACCAAAAAGTGTATCATGTCAAGGTAGAAAGTAGCATATAACAAAACATTTCATCATTGAATACTGGGATGTGCTGCATTTCAAAGAAGGATTATTTAGTCCATCCATTGGAATGCATCGTAAGAAGGACTGACTACAAGATCGTTTTTTTTTTTTAAGATTTTATTTATTTATTCATGAGACAGAGAGAGAGAGAGAGAGAGAGAGGCAGAGACACAGGCAGAGGGAGAAGCAGGCTCCATGCAGGGAGCCCAACGTGGGACTTGATCCCAGGACTCCAGGATCACACCCTGGGCCAAAGGCAGATGCTTTAACCGCTGAGCCACCCAGATGTCCCTGACTACAAGATCTAAACTGAGTAGTGTCCAGTCATCTTAGCATGGCCCACAGGTCCTCCGTGATGTGCCTCCACAATCTCTGCGTCAGAAGATCATGATCATTCCGCCCCAAGGCCTCTGCTGTTCCCTGGACTGGAACACCTAAAGCCTCTGATCTCAGGGTTGTTCCAGTTTCAGCTGAATTGTCAGCTTCCCAGGGAGTCCTTCTTCTCTATCAGGACACAGCCTTTTACAAGACCCTGTAATTTCTCATCTTCACAGCGTCGGGCTGTGTGAATACCTCTGTTTTGATTTCCTGTTCCTGTCTGCCTCACTGGAAAGTAAAATGAAGCTCACTGAAAGTAGGAACGGTCTCTGGTCTACAGGAGGTTCCTTACCAACTGGAATAGTGCCAGGCATGTAGTAGATACTTAGTAATACTTGTGAATTTTAATTAATGAAGCCAAGGGCATATGCATAGATTATATCATTGTCTTTTTGTTTGTCTGCAATAGACAAACCTTGAGTTAAAAGGGAAGGGGCATATATAATGGGGAGGACTATCAGCAAATTTATTATTACCCAGATCTTTATTAGTCTTAACTAACATCTCTTACATCCATTAAATATCATCTATAGGGATCCCTGGGTGGCGCAGCGGTTTGGCGCCTGCCTTTGGCCCAGGGCGTGATCCTGGAGACCCGGGATCGAATCCCACGTCGGGCTCCCGGTGCATGGAGCCTGCTTCTCCCTCTGCCTGTGTCTCTGCCTCTCTCTCTCTCTGTGACTATCATAAATAAATAAAAAAAATTTAAAAAATTAAAAAAAAATAAATGTCATCTATAAGCTCCTTTTTTCCAGTTATTGAGCCCATGGAGGTAAGCCGGGTACCACCTTCCCTGCCCCATCCCCTCATCTCTTCCCCTGCTGTTTCTTTCCCCTCTTACCGTTTTCTATCAACCTGACCATATCAGTCTCACCTCAAAGCATGCCCATCACATGCCAGGGCCCTTAAGACAAAGTCAAAATCCTTAGTATGACCTGAAAAATATTTTGCAGTCCTGCCTGAGCTCATGTCTACCTTCATTGCTTGATCCTCACTTCCTTTCCTCTCTAGACTCAGCCATGTTTCCTTCACTTTGCTGAAATCCCCGTGCTCTCTCTTGCCTTTGGGCCTTTTCGCATTTCCCATCCCTCTGCCTGGAACCTCCATTTCACCAAACTAATTCTGATTCACCTCTCAGCTTTGAAACAGAGATCACTCCCTTCTGGAAGCTTCTCCAATGAATACCTCTTTAGTCTGGGCTTCTCTGTTTAGACTTTTCCCATGATAGTGCTCATCAGACTATACGACAATTTCCGGCTTCACCATCAGATTTTTGTCTTGTATACACTAATAGCCCTAGCATTGAGCATGATGTGTGGTACTTGTTACTCAGTAATTAAAAATAAATAAAATAGGGGTGTCTGGCTGGCTCAGTGAGAGGAGAACGTGACTCTTGATGTTGGGGTTGTGGGTTCAAGCCCCATATTGGGTGTAGAGAGTACTTAAAAATAAAATCTTCAGGGCACCTGGGTGGCTAAGTGGCTAAGCTCTGCCTTTGGCTCAGGTTGTGATCCCAGGATCCTGGGATCGAGTCAGGCTCCCTGCTCCACGGGGAACCTGCTTCTGCCTCTGCCTCTGCCTCTGCCTCTGCACCCCCCCGCCGCCTCTCTCTCATGAATAGACAAAAAATAATAAAATCTTAAAATAATAAAAATAAAATAAAATAAAATATAGAGATGCTTACTAAATGGTTTTAAAGGAAAGCTCTAAGTTGCCACTTGAAGACTTTTCACCAACTGTCAAAGTGTCTGATGAGCCCCCTGTGCCCAGAAATCACTTGGACCTTCTTCCGTGTGTGAATGATTACCAAGAGGCATTATAACCCTCTGGGGAGTCTTAACTCCCAGACTCTGCCATTTAGAGTGTAATGTAAGAAGTCCGTTTCTGGAAGCAACACAGTGCATGGTGGTACCTTTCAGCACAGTGAAAACTCGAAAAATAGGGTGGTCTCAGCCAAGGGTCAAATTGCAGATACAATGCTTTATGTATTTGGCAGTGCTCTCGAGACAAATACATAATCACCGAGGTATGTGATCTGGTCGGAAAATTCAGGCCAGATAGAATGACACGGGTAGAAACGCGCACACACACAAATACACATAACAATGAGCGCTCTTATTTGTAAAAACCACATTAAGAGATGGCAGTTCTTTACCTCTGAAGTGATTTATAAATTAAAATAATTGCCTCTTTGAACTGTTCAGATATTAATTGACCTATCACTAATGTATGTACGGTCTCGAAACCATCCAAACATTACCTAAACATTTTTATTCTCTTTATTCTGGATATCCAGAAAACCACAAAAATAGGCTCTTTGTTCTGGTGCCAAGGGTCATAAAGGAAAAGCCATCATCTTTGATGACTTTGCAATTCTTATTCTATTTCTTCCTCAAGTTAATTCTCAGTGAAATAGCAAGTCCTCTGAGCTTGAATAAGCCTTCCCACTACCCTCTTTTTAACAACCTCATCCCAGAGCACATGGATCCAGTTCTGGCTCAGATTTCTGGTAATGAGAGCAGGGCAATTCATTATTTTTTTTTATTAATTTTAGCTTGGGATATATATTCCAAACCACCCCAGATGGTGGGTGGCAGGCAGGCATTTCCTTCCTAGGTAAAATGAGGGAGAAACTAAATTGGCCAAGGCCCAGATGTGCATAGGCTGTGACAAGCTTTCTGGGGGTCCATTTTTCAAGAGTGATCTTGACCTGAATTAAAAGGCAGACAGCGCTCAAGACAGGAGCTTTAGGGCAGTGGTTCTAAACCAGAGACAATTTTGCACCCCATCCCCAGGGCAAATTTGGCAAAATCTGGAGGCATATTTGGTTGCTACAACTTGGCAGCAGTTAGGGGTTGTGCTAGTGGCATCTAATGAGCAGATCCAAGGACAGTGCTACGTCCTACCATGCCCAGGACAGCCCCCACAACAAAGGATTATCCAATCCAAAGTGTCAGTAGTGCTGAGCTTGAGAACTTCTGCCTTATAGTCTCAAACACTGAGTTCACATCCCAGCTTTGCTCTTTTATGGCTGTAGGACCATTGTGCAAGTTCCTTGATCTCCCTGAACCTCAGGTCTCTCTTCTATCAAATGGTGATCATGATAAAATATCCAGTCTGGTGCTGGTGAAGGTTTGAAAATATAGTCTATTTTTTATTTCTCTATGACTGAATTTTTTTAAACATTTATTTTCTTAGAGAGAGAGAGTGAGAGAGAGCCCGTGAGGGGGTAGGGGGGTAGGGGGAGGAGCAGAGGGAGAGGGAGAGAGAGAATCCCAAGCAGACTCTGCACTGAGTGCAGAGCCCAATGGGGGCTCCATCTTATGACCCTGAGATCACAATCTGAGCCAAAACCCAAGAGTCCCATGGTTAATTGAGCCATCCAGGTGCCCCTAATGTATTTTTATTTATTGCATGAATGTTGCAATAAATATTGCATTTTTTTTTTTAAGTAAGCTGTACAGTAGTGTGGGGCTTGCTCATCACCCTGAGGTCAAGAGTTGCATGCTCTACTGACTGAGCCAGCTGGGTGCCCCTTCTATTAATGTATTTTAAATGAAAATAGAAATTGCCATAATTTGTGAGGAAAACTCAACTTTGAAATTTCAGTTTCAAATCCAAATTTTATTTTCTCCTTTTATTAATGCATAATGTAGGATACAAAATGCAAAATTCAATCTATAAAATAGGAAGATTTGGCAATAATTGACTTTTCATTTGCTGTGGCTAAGTGGTACCAATTTCAAAACATCAAAGACCCATTCTGTTTTAATTCACTAAAAGAAAAAATCAATTATGAATTGATATGTGTTCCAGACTCTACAGAGATCTACATTAGAAATATAGCAATACTTGCTTTAATACAGAAAGTTAAAAAAAAAACCCAGGTTTCTAGTGGGCAAAGAAACAGCATTTTCAAAATGCCTAAGAGGGTAGAAGGAAATGGAAATATAAACCATATTCTGATATTTTTCTATGTGATAGTAATATGTAATACCAGGTTAAGCAAATATGGCCGCTATACAAAATATAATATTTATTTGAATGAGGAAATCAATTTGGACTTATAACACATTTATACAAAAACTTTCCTTAAACTGTTACTTAAAATCAGAAGTGTTTTGGTATTACATAGAAATAGTGTGCTACTGTGCTTTATAGCAACTGAAAATACTGTTTCCAGATAATTTCATATGAAAACCATGACCTCCCAATACATCTTAAAGTCACAACTCCCACTTCCTTGCACTAGTTCTTATGTAATAGACTAAAGAGGATGGTCTTTTGGTCATTCTGCAGATATTTACTGACTGCTAATTATGTGTGTCTCCTGTGATGGTGCTGGGGATATAGCACATTTTGGAACATGCAAATGGTCAGGAGATAGCACAGCCTAGTGAGCAAGGACTCAGAATTCTGGAGTCAAAGAGGTGGCTTGACTTCTGACTAAGTCATGTTTTAGTTGGTGACCCTTTGACCGCCTCTTCAACTTACTAGAGGCTGAGTTTGTGCCTCTGAAAAATAGGTTGAGAGTTTTTCTCCCCATTTTGTTAAAAAAAAATTCTGGTAAAAAGCACTGAGCATGGAGCTTGCTATTTATTAAGAAAATTGCTCAAAATGGTTAACTGTATTATTATAAGGACAGTTATGTTATTTTTACAGGCCAGAAATGGCCTGTTTTTGGAAAATGGAGGCTCTTTTCCTACATCAAGAAGAATTTAAAAAGCATTACAAGTGAGAGACTGAATAAACCATATTTCTTACAATAATGTGTATAAACTTGCCAAATGGAAACAGCTGTCACAGAAACAATTCAGGGTTGTTGTTGTTGCTTTTTTTGTTTTGTTTTTTAATTCTTAAACTTCTGATGGCCAACTGGATGCTTAATACAGTAGCTGGGCAAGCTTCTCTACATTGCATTGTTTACATATTTTCCTTAGACATGGGTAGTATTATGAAACAAATACTTCAGTGTGCATACATTCAGAGCTGCTTTCTAATTTCACTTCTGATAATGTATTTTTTATAGAAAGCTAGCTTTCTATAGAATTTTTAGAATTTCAAAATTCTAATTTTTTTTTAAGTTCTTATTTATTTATTCATGAGAGACAAAGAGAGAGGCAGAGACACAGGCAGAGGGAGAAGCAGGCTCCCTGCGTGTAACCTGATGCGGGACTTGATCCCAGGACCCAGGATCACAACCTGAGCCAAAGGCAGAAGCTCAACCACTGAGCTACCCAGGTGCCCCCTAAATGCTTTTGAAGAAAAAATCACAAATGGTAAATAGCACTTACTGGTTTTCATATTAGGAAAAAAAAAAGGTGGGATGCCTAAGTGGCTCAGTGGTTGAGAGTCTGATGCCTTTGGCTCAGGGCGTGATCCCGGGGTCCTGGGATTGAGTCCCACATTGGGCTTCCCATGGGGAGCCTGCTTCTCCCTCTGCCTGTGTCTGCCTCTCTCTCTGTGTGTCTCATGAATAAACAAAATCTTTAAAAGAAATTAAAAATAGATGTTTCTTGTGAAAACCACAAAAGAAAAACAAAAGAAGAATATAAAAAATTCACCTCTAATCTTAATGACCAGACATAGTTTTTCTTTTCTGTGTG